CTTGGGCGTCCCCTTGGAAGAGGCTCTCCTTAGCTCCCCAGGCTGGGGGGTCTCCTATAGAGACCCTGGGGGGGGGTCTGGGACAAACGCGAACCCCTCCCGTCAGCCGGGTCTCGGCGCATCTCCATCCGAGCGAGACGAGACGCGTCTGAGCGGCGAAACGCTTAGACTGAAAGTTTTCAGTTCTTTTTCTTTTTAGCCTTAAAAGTTACGTGGATGCCCCCTTATATGTATCGAGACCAGAGTGTTCTGGAACAGCCACCCCAGTAATCAAGGAGGCCATGAAGACCTGAGCTATAAAGTCCCATTATTTTGGCAGGCATTGTTTTACAGTTGAAGTGTCTCTTGGGAACTGGGTTAGGATATAGGAACATTTAAGCAGCTTCATAAAGGAGGTGACAAAAGTGTGGTGTGGTGGTTAGGCTGTCAGTCTAGGACTAGGGAGATGCAAGTTCGAATCCCAAGTCTGCCATGGAAGCTTGCTAGGTGACCTTGGGCCAGTCATACCCTCTCAGTTAAACCTACCTCCGAGGGTTTTTGTAAAGATAAAATGGAAAGGAGAGAATGTTGTAAAGCGGTTTGGGTCCCCATTGAGTAGAAAAGTGGGGTGTAAATGAAGTAAGTAAATAACTAAAAGTTACTAACTTGCAAACGTTTTTAGCAGTCTGCCTGTCCATTCTTGCCTATATTAGATCTGGAATAGAACAGAAAAAGTAAAGGAGCAGTTCTTTTAAAGCATCTGCAGCTGGATGGGCTTGCCTGGTACTTGATACAACTGGTTAAGGACAAGGGAGGGGAAAGCATCCTCCTCATTGCTTACATGGAGTAGGTGTCTGTTGATTCCCCACAGGCAGTTTGGAATGTACTTTGTATACCGATATCCAGTGCTGCTGGTGTATACTAGAGCTGAAAAAATGTAATTGGATTATTGCTGCAATTGATTAAAAACCTTTTTATTGACTAAAAAGTGCCTCCTTGTGTCAGCTACGCTGCCATGGGGGTTGGGGAGCTCAGTCTGTGTCTGGTTAATTGCTAGTGCATTCCTTTCTGTGCTTTTTCTGCTTTGTGCCGAAATGCTTATCTATACAGATGTGCAGGAGGGAGTTGTATTGTTTGGGTTTCTCCTAGGTGTCATGGGAAAGTGTCGGTTCTCAGCTTTAGCTACCTAATGGTCTCCAAGCTTTATCCCGCGTGCGGGAGGGTGCCTAATTGGCCAGTGCTGGGGTGTGTGTGTGCATACGAATACCCCATATCCTATTATGCCCATAGGGCCGCCACCATTCTTAACAGTGCTTATGTTACTGCATCTATAGCTCTGCAATAAAAGTATTACTGTTCCTGAATGCGTTTACTTCATTGTTGGCTGTGGGTTCTGACACCTTGCACATTGAATTGAGGAGAAGATTTGGATGGGGGGAGTAGTAGTATTTTAATACTGGTACTTAGAAACAGCAGATGACCAGCACCATTTTAGGACCAACATATTCTCATCTTTTCACTCATGGGCAGGGATGCCTCTTCTCAGACACCCGTGCATCATCTAAACATCAAGGAGGCATATTTTCTGTCCTTAAGGATTATTGTTTTTGCATGTGTGCAAATTTATGTAAGGTTAATTGATCTGATGTCCATTTGTTTATTTTTATTTAGGACATTTTTAGGCTGCCTCTCCAGAGTCTTGCTAAGTGCAGTTTACCATTTATAAAAACAGTTCCATGAAATCTTCATATAAAAATAAAACAAGCCTTTTAAAAACAAGTCAGAGCAGGGCCATAGCCAGCAGTGGTGCGAATGGGGTGGTGCCCCCTACCAAATTCGCAGCATCCCCACCCCTCCGAGTCCCCCCCTCCCAGAAGAGGGAGGGAGCCTGGGGGCAACTGGTGATGACTGCACTTGCCGTGGGGCCAAGCAAGGGAGGCAGAGTTGTGGTGCACATCAACAAGTGAAAGGAAGGTATTTAAAGAGACATAGGTAAAGGTAAAGGTTTCCCTTGCTTGAAAGCCAGTCAAATCCAACTCTAGGGATGCGGTGCTCATCTCCGTTTCCAAGCCAGAGCTGTCCAAAGACATTTCCGTGGTCATGTGCCTGGCATGACTAAACGCCGAGGCACGCGGATTGCTGTTACCTTCCCACTGAAGTGGTACCTATTCATCTACTTGCAATTTCTTGCTTTCGAACTGCTAGGTTGGCAGAAGCTGGGACCAGAGGAGCTGGGACCAGAGTCAGATTGAGGTGACAAGAGAGGAAGTCCTACGACTGATAGATAACTTAAAAACTGATAAATCACCAGGCCCGCATGACATACATCCGAGAGTTCTGAAAGAACTCAAATGTGAACTTGTGGATCTCCTTACAAAAATATGTAATCTTTCATTAAAATCTGCCTCCATTCCTGAGGACTGGAAGGTAGCTAATGTCACTCCCATCTTTAAAAAGGGTTCCAGAGGAGATCTGGGAAATTACAGGCCAGTCAGTCTGACATCGATACCAGGTAAGTTGGTAGAAACTGTTATTAAGGAAAGAATTAGTAGGCACATAGATGAACAAAAACTATTGAGGCAGACTCAGCATGGGTTCTGTAAGGGAAG